CCTACAGTGAAAAGGAGGAAAACTTCCCTAAACAAAGTCAATGAAGCTGCATTAAGCTCCTTCAAACAAATGAGGGCCATTAACACCCAAATCTCTAAGCCAATGATCCAAGAAGTTGCTAGAAAATTTGCACAGGAATTTGGGGTGGCAGATTGCCAGGCATCAAGTGGTTGACTTAAGAAATTTAAACTATGACATGAGATCTCCCAGAAAGTCTTGTGCAGTGAATCCAATGAAGTTCCAGTAGAAGTGGTGGAAGAGTTCATCAAAAAGTTCCCTGACTTTGCCAGAGGCTTCAAAGATTATGACATCTTCAATGCTGACAAGAACATAGTCTTTTTCAAGGCAATACCTGACAGTTACCTCATCATGAAGAGTGACAAATGTGAAAGCAGGAAACTTTCCAAAGAACATCTCATTGTTCTACTTTGTGCTAGCTGAAACAAAGAGAAACTACAGCTCTTGGTGATTGATAAATTGGCAAAGCCATGCTCATTCATGAACCTGAGGACCACCCCATCAGTTGGAGATTAAACAAATACATGTGGATAACTAGTGTCTTATTTGAGGAGTTGGCAAGGTGATAAAGACTGGTAAATGAAAAAGAAGAAATGGTCTATTCTGGCCACCTGCAAGTGAATCATCTCACAACCATGAGACTGAAATTTCTGGCTCCAAACGTGAACTCAAAAATCCAATGTCTTGACCAAGGCATCATCAAAACATTTAAAATGCACTATAGCTCCCGCAGTGGGTCATCACTAAAACACAAACTTGTGCGCCGCCTATGGAAGCAACTTCACCTGTGGCATCATTTAACACTGTGGAGGCTGTCCTCTGGGTCATAAAGTTTGGCCAGATATGATACAGAAATGTTTTTTAAAAGTTGGATTTGGGCTCGGCGCCTGTGGCTCAAGCTGCTAAGGCACCAGCCACATACACCTAAGGTAGCGGGTTCGAATCCCCAGCCCGGGCCCGCCAAACAACAATGATGGCTGCAACCAAAAAATAGCCAGGTGTTGTGGCGGGCGCCTGTGGTCTCAGCTACTTGGGAGGCTGAGGCAGGAGACTCGCTTGAGCCCAGGAGTTGGAGGTTGCTGTGAGCTGTGATGCCATGGCACTCTACCCAGGGGTATAGCTTGAGGCTCCATCTCAAAAAAAAAGAATAATAAATAAATAAAATAAAATAAATAAAAGTTGGATTTGTGTCTGGGCAGCACCTGTGGCTCAGTGGGTAAGGTACCGACCCTATATACCGAGGGTGGAGGGTTCGAACCCAGCCCCAGCTGGGTGGCAAGCGAAACAACAACAACAAAAATAGCTGGGCACCTGTAGTCCCAGCTACTCAGGAAGCTGAGACAAGAGAATTGCCTGAGCCCAGGAGTTGGAGGTTACTGTCAGCTGTGATGCCACAGTACTCTACCAAGGGCAATAAAGTGAGACTCTGTCTCTAAAAAAAAATAAAAAATAAGGGCAGCACCTGTGGCTCAGTGAGTAGGGCACCAGCCCCATATACCAAGGGTTCAACAACAAAAATAGCCAGGCATTGTAGTGGGCACCTGTAGTACCAGCTACTACTCAGGAGGCTGAGGCAAGAGAATTTCCTAAGCCCAAAAGCTGGAAGTTGCTGTGAGCTGTGATGCTAAGGCACTCTACTGAGGGTGACAAAGTGAGACTCTGTCTCTAAAAAAACAAACAAAAAAAAGGTAAAAGAGGTGGAGAAAGATGTGGACCAGAAGGATCATTCAGCTGAGCTCTCCTAGAACAATTGGGGAAGGAGAGAGAATCCAGCTATAGCTGGTTGGGGACTTTACCCAGAGTCATAGCTCAGGGATCATGGCAAGAAGGTGGTGAGCTGGGTACTCCAGGCAAAATGGAGACCCCCATTCTTGTCAAGGAAAAACACTCCCAGAAAAAAGGAAAAAATAAAAAAACTAAGCTGAGTAAGTTGGAACAAAGGAAAGTCAGCTAGTTTACCTTTAAACCAGCACTGCTAAATTTCTTATCTGAACAAGTTTCCTGCTTTTCCTAGAGCTCTGGCCTGTTGGGAATACAGCTTACAAACATCCCTGCTGGGTCTGTAAAACACTCTGGAGAAAATAATGGCTACAGAAAATGCTATGGCAAGGCCTGGAAAGATATATTAACTAGGCCGTTTCCTGCCCAGTAAACAGACAAAGCAAATACCCATTGTAGAGATTTGTATTTGTCTGGGGCAGAGATCAAGGGAATAGCTCAAGCCCTGAAATATGGGCAGGAGGGCTTATATCTCTTGTCACAGAGGAAGACCCTCTGTGGTGGTGATGAGAGGAAAATTCTTCTCTCCCATTGATTCTTCAGAGGAGATTGTTTTACTCCACAGGGAATAGCAGAGTTTAACACCTCCCTAGGAATCTGTGTGTGTGACCTCAGACAGGGGGCTGCCCTCACACAAGGCTCAGGTTCCAGATTTCTCAAGACTGCTCAGACCCCTAAAATTAATGAGTATAGAAACAACAGGACTTGATATGCTCACTCAGAGAAACTGCTGGAGTCTTTGTTCCCTTCCTCAGCTTACAAATGGCCTTCAATAAAAGCTGAGTGGGCTCAGTGCCTGTAGCTCAGCAGCTAGAGTGCCAGCCACATATAGCCATGCCCAGGCCTGCCAAACAACAATGACAACTACAACAAAAAAATATCCAGGTGTTGTGGCAGGTGCCTGTAGTCCCAATTACTTGGGAGGCTGGGGCAAGAGAATCACTAAGCCCAAGAGTTTGAGCTGTGATGCCACAGCACTCTACTGAGGGTGACATAGTGAGACTTTGCCTCAAAAAATAAATAAATAAATAAATAAATAAATAAAATAATAAAAGCTGAGTGGAACTGACACTCAGGGGCACTGCTGGAACCCAAGTGGGCGGTGGTCCTCTGAGTTCCCACCTTTGAAAATTCTATTCTGTGTGTCTTGTCTCTTTCTTTCTCATCATTTCTAACTTTGTATTTCTTCAGTTGGTCCCCACCAGATCAACAAGTCTTAAGGGACCCTGCCTTCAGGGCAGGACCCTAGAAGATACAGCATATGATCCAGAGTGGTGAAAATCTTATGAATTAGGCAAATCATTGTGACTGGCTGGGGGACAGAGGTCCGGGACAGGAGGAAGTCTTTCCAGAATTTTCAGTTCTTGGGGAAGCTACATGTTGAGTGGAAAGTTTGGAAGAATGGATAGACTCAAACAGTCTGTAGCAACCAGATTTGAAAGCCAGTTGAAGTGGATTTGCCATAGGATTGGTGGCTGGCAAGGCAGCCATACTGAGAAGGTCTCTGTGACCAGGGGGCTGCCATTGTGGGAAGGTCATGAGACTGTCTCAGCAGGGGCCTAACGCACAGCCATCTTCATTCTGCCTGCCAGGATCAGAACTCCACTCTTGGGATAGGCTGAGGGACTCCTACAACACATGGGAACTGGAGTCAGGGGCACTGTGAGACCTGCCTCTGAAGGATTCTTGTGAACTTTAAGATCCCAGCCCAGCAGGGTCTAAATACTGAGGAAACAATCAGGCAATCACTGAAGGCTACTAAGTCTTAAATAAGGATCATAGAGGTTGTAGGCTATGTTCTGTCTCCTAAACAACTACAGCACCACCTGGTGTTCCAGAAACATATTGCAACATACTGTCATCAAGAGCAAGGACTTCTATTTGAAACAAAGGAGGCAGTGAGAAGGAAAAAGGAGGACAAGGAGGTGAACAAGAAAGAACACATGAGAAGAAACCAACAGAAAAATTCAGACAACATTAAAAAAATAGAGGAACTCCCCTGAGAGACCATGAGACAGCTATTGCAGAAGACTCCACCTACAAAGAATTAATGGACTTGGCTTGGTGCCTGTAGCTCAGTGATTAGGGCACCAGCCACATACACTGGGGTTGGTGGGTTTGAACCCAGCCCAGGCCTGCTAAGCAACAATGACAACTACAACAACAACAAAAAAAATAGCTGGATGTTGTGGAGGGCACCTGTAGTCCCAGATACTTAGGAGGCTGAGCCAAGAGAATCACTTAAACCCAAGTGTGACTCCGCAGCACTCTTCTGAGGGCAACATAATGAGACTCTGTCTCAAAAAAAAAAAAAAAAGAAAAAGAAAAAGAAAAGAAATGTATGCAGTACTGGGAGGACAGATACTGGGATTTGCTATCATAGTACATTGATGTGAGGAAGGAAGTTCTTGGAAAGTGTGGTTTGAGCTCAAAGTCAGGATGACTAGGAGTTAGATAAAGGAAGTGAGGTGGTGAATGGAGGAGAAATAAACCTGTCATTACCCTGATTACCCTATGCTAGACAGTGCTGAGCCTTTCCCAGTATCACCCAACGTGGGATGGTGCTTGGGTAAGATGTGTGGACTCCCAAATAAAACTGGCAGATTTGGAATCCTACCTCTGCCATTTCTTGGCTACGTAGCCTTGGAAACTTATTTTCTGTTGATTCTGGTATCAAGGTGGGTGATGGGAGCTTTGCACTGAAGAGAGATGAAATTAATCTCATTTTAAGGTGTTTTCCTTGGCTGCAGTGTGAAAACTGGATTAGAGCAGCAGTTTAAAGGACTGGAATGAATTTTAGTTCTTTGGGTGAGTCAAAGGTGGCTTCAGCCAGGGTAGGAAGTAATAATTGGATTTGGCTGGTGAGGGAATGGTCAAGGGAAACTCCCAAGTTTCTAGCTTGTGTTATAAATAACACAGAAGAAGGATGCATGAATTTCATTAACATTTTCTATTTTAGAATTTTCTATTTTTTCTATTTCTATTTTCTATTATTAGAAAATTTCTAATTTTCTATTTATTGTGATGTTTTTTACACATGCAAAAATATATTTTGTATGTGGTCTACTTGAAGAATAATAAAACTAAATATGTATTTACCTCTTATGTCACTCAATAAAAAGAATTTGCTAATACACTGAAAGCCCTTGAGTTGTCCATTTTCCTCTCCAGAGGTAACTGCTATCCTGAATTTTTTTTTATTGTCTCTGTAGAGACCATCAAAAATTGCCAGTGCTGACTATATTTCAAGTCATCACAGCAGGGTATTGGGAAGTTTTCAATTAGCTATAACCATACCTCAGATAAACCTTATTGGCTACGATACTGCCACTGTGCAAAGCTGCTATCCTGAATTTTGATTAATCTTGTCTTTGCTATTTTTTGTTATTACTATATATATGTATTTATTCCTAAATAATATAGTGATTTTTTTTTACTTTTTTTTTTTTGTTTTTTTGAGACAGTCTCCTTATGTTGCCCTCAGCAGAGTACCATGGCATCACAGCTCACAGCAACTTCAAACTCTTGGAGTTAAGTGGTTCTCTTCCCTCAGCCTCCCAAGTAGCTGAAACTACAGGCACCAAGCACAACACCCAGCTATTATTTGGCTGTAGTTGTCATTGTCATTTGTCAGGCCCAGACAGGATTCAAAACCACCAGCTCTGGTGTATGTGACTAGTGCCCTACCTGCTGAGCTACAGGCACTGACCTTATAGGTTCCTTTTGATGGACAGATGAAGTAATCTCCCAAACAAGAGATGAAACAAAAGCTGTTTCTTTCCTCATTATGAAAATGAAATTAAGGGTCCTAGACTTTTCTGGCACCTAAGGGTGTGGGTCAGGCCCCATGGCTTTTTCCTTCTGTTCTCTGTGCATCTACACTTTCAGGAATAATCTCAAGAATTCTCCTCCCACAGTGTTTCAGTCATAGTTCTATTTGCTTTACCTTTTCCTTCAGTGGCCCTCAGTCATGTTTTCAGAATCACATTCTTCTGGTGGTTCTCCTCCCCCTGGCCATTTGCTCCCAACTTCCCAGAGGACATGAACATCTTCCTCCTTCAAATTGCTGTGGATATGGCATTTCTTGAAACCCTGGACAATGAGTTCACTGAAGAGGCTATTTCAGGCAAGCATGACCCACTCTAAAAAGAGGCCCTGGGGTGGCTTATTGGCATTCCTGGTTGGGCTCAGCGCCAGGTTTCTGTCCAGAAGCCAGTTGGATTACTGGGCACACACACTGTTGTTTGGTGACCATCATCCAGCACCTGGAGCAGCAAGGTCAGGCCTCCCAGCATGATCACCCTGTGGGTGTTTATGCTTTCCATGTTCTTCACAGACCTGTGTCATGCTCCCAGAAACCATTCAAGATCAGCATTCCTTGCTGCTAGGGCACTGCTCCCAGCCTGTCTCCATCTTGCTTCCAGCCAGTCCTGTATGTCCTCAGTCATCCATTCACACCAGTGGCAGTGGATTTCTATTCCTCTCAGGAACTTCCCGGGGTGGGGGTGGATGTATATTCCCCTCAAAATGATATGCAGAGGTAATTTCCCCCTATTAGCTATGAAACCAAACTGGTCCTGACTTTCAGTTTTTCCCCTGTCTGTCATCTGTTTTTTTTTTTTACACAGAGTCACACTTTGTCACCCTCAGTACAGTGCTGTGCCATCATAGCTCACAGCAAACTCAAACTCTTAGCCTCAAGAGATACTTCTTGCCTCAGGCTCCAAAAAGCTGGGACTATAGGTACCTATCAGACACTGCCTATTTTTAGAAACAGGGTCTCACTGGCTCGGCTCAAGCAAGCCATCTGCCTCTCCCTCCCAGAGTGCTAGGATTATAGGCATGAGCCACCGTGCCTGACCCCACACATAGTATCATGACAGTATTTTTGCTTTGGTGGTCAACATTCATCCTTGAGGGCACCTCTAAACAAATGGGCATCTCACCAGATTTCCCCATTTGAGCTACCCCGTAGTCATGTGCCCTGTACAGAGCCAGCACACTCTGCTGATACATGACGAGTTCCTCACTCAGTCTTCAGGCAGGTGCTGGGGCACTGGCACTTTACGCCCCACAGACAGGCCAGACCTTATCCTCATTCTTCTACACCAACCCAAGCTTGCCTTGAACACTTTTCTCTGGAATATTCATTTCCTGGGTGATTTCAAAGGCTTTTAGCAGCATCGCCTCCCTGGTGATGGGATCCTTTCTGGGTTACACATATCTGACATTCAGCCACATGCTGGTCCACTAAAGCTAACTTGCCATTCCTGGGGCCATTGCTTGGCATGGGCAATCTGAAGCTCCTGCAGCCCTCTCAGTACACACATGCATACTTCAGGCCTCCAACTCACACCAGTGCCCCTGGACCCTCTGTTAACACCAAGGTTTGTCTCCCCGACCCTTCCAACCTCACAGCCCTTCTACCATGGACTCGAGAGTTCCGTACCTCCTGCCCACACGAGCACCTCCACGCCCTCCGTGTAGCTGCTTTCTGTCCACAGCTCACCTGTACCCTGGAGGTTGTTTCCCACTTGCCCAATAACTGTGGACCAGCTCAGCTTTCCCAGTAACTACTCACCAGCATACCTTCAGCAACGAGAGCCATGAACCCCAACCCCTTAGACACAGGGCTCAGTTTCCAAGCTTGTCCTTGCTTGAGCACTGTCTCAGCCCTAGTGGACTATCTAGTGTTTTCTTACATCATATATTTAGTCCTATCATGTATTTTTTTTACAGGTGCCCTCCACAACACCAGGGTATTTTTAGAAACGGGGTCTCACTGGTGTCGATCCTCTGAGCTCAGGCAATCCACCCACCTCAGCCTCCCAAAGTGCTTGGATTACAGGCATGAGCCACACACACACCCCCATTAGGCCTATATTTTTAAAGTATTTTATAGAACTTTAAGTCATTATGTGATGTCTCCCTTTTGCTTGGACTCTGATACAGTCAGGAGAATGTAATTAGCATCTAATATAGCATACTATCAGTGTATATACACAACTACTGTGTCCCTAATGAGCTTATTAAGTTTTTTGTTGTTGTTTGCTTGTTTTTTGAGACAGTCTCGCTATGTCAGCCTTGGTAGAGTGCTGTGGCATCACAGCTCACAGCAACCTCAAACTCTTTGGCATAAGTGATTCTCTTGCCTCAGCCTCCCAAGTAGCTGGGACCACAGACACCCACCACAATGTCCAGCTATTTTTTGGTTCTAGTTTGCTTTGTTGTTTGGGCTGCATTCGAACAAGCCAGCTCCGGTGTATGTGGCTGGCCCCTAACTGTTGAGCTACAGGCACTGAGCCGAGCTTATTAACTTTTTTTTTTTAAGAGACAGTCTCACTTTGTCATCCTCAGTAGAGTGCTGTGACATCACAGCTCATAGCAACCTCCAGCTCTTGGGCTTAGACGATTCTCTTGCCTCAGCCTCCCAAGTTAGCTGGGACTACAGGCACCCATCACAATGCCTGGCTATTTTTTGTTGCAATTTGGCCAGGGCTGGGTTCAAACCCACCACCCTGGGTATATGGGGCTGGTACCCTACTCACTGAGCCACAGGCACTGCCCAAGCTTATTAACTTTTAAAAAAAATATGCAATTGGGGACTTTAATGCTTTATATATTGTGAAATCCTTGAATTATTACATAAGGGTGATGAAAGGGTACTGGCCACATACACTGGGCCTAGCAGGTTTGAATTCAGCCCAGGCCTGCTAAAACAATGACAACTACAAAAAAAAAAAAAAAAAAATAGCTGGGCGTTGTGGCAGGCACCTGTAGTCCCAGTTACTTGGGAGGCTGAGCCAAGAGAATCACTTAAGCCCATGAGTTTGAAGTTGCTATGAGCTGTGATGTCATAGCACTCCACTGAAGGTGACATAATGAGACTGTCTCTAAAAAGAAAAAAGAAAAAAAGAAATTTGAGGATAATGGCTAGAGTGTTTGAATGGGTATAGCATCATTGTTCATATTTAGGTTAATGGAATATAGACTCCTTTTGTCTGACAATTCATGATCTAAAGTATTCATATCCAAGGTTACTTGAGTCTTACTCCCCCTCCCATGTAACAAGATTTATTTAGCAGATTAGATCTGGATAATGAGGGATAGCTGTATTATATTTTCCTTTTAAAGTTGTACCTAGTAACAAAATTTATGAATCTTAGAGATAAAATGTGTTGAAAACAAGGCAGTTCCTGTGGCTCAAGGAGTAGGGCACTGGCCTCATATACCGGGGGTGGGGGGTTCGAACCCAGCCCTGGCCAAAACTGCAAAAAAAAAAAAAAGGTTGGGCAGTGCCTGTGGCTCAAAGGAGTAGGGCGCTGGCCCCATTTACCAGAGGTGGTGGGTTCAAACCAGACCCCGGCCAAAAACTGCAAAAATAAAAATAAAGAAAACAAGGTAGTTCCAGAAGAGTACATGTAGCTTAGTATATTTACGAAGCTCAAAATAAAATGTAAAAATTATTTTTGAATACATGCATTTGTGATAACTCTATGAAAGGAAAAATCAAAGGAATTTATAACTGCAAATTCAATGTAATTAATTGTCAAAGACACAGCATACCAGACCTGGTGGACAGTCATGGCACTGCAGTTTCTGAAGGGAGCTGCAAAGACTTGATGTCCCCACTGTGAGGAAGGTCCACTGTGTGCTGCTGAATCCGGTGAGACAGAACACCCATGACACAACAAGATACATGAAACAGGTTTATTATCTCCAGATACGCACCAAGGAACAACAGAAACATAGGATACATTTGTGAGTTGGCCCTCCAAGACTCAGAAAAGCTGCCCAGGGCAGATATAGTGTCAACTATGTGTATGTGTGTCCCATTTGCACAACAGCTGAGGGACCCCAGAAAGCAGTCTGCCCAAGGTTGTTTTTTTTTTTTTCTTTGAGACCGGAGCCTCAAGCTGTCCCCCTGGGTAGAGTGCTGTGACATCACAGCTCACAGCAACCTCATACTCCTAGGCTCAAGCGAGTCTCCTGCCTCAGGCTCCAGAGTAGCTGGGACCACAGGCACCCGCCACAATGCCCAGCTATTTTTTTGGTTGTAGCTGTCGTTGTTTGGCGGGCCCAGGCTGGATTCGAACCCGCCACCTTGGGTGTACGTGGCTGGTGCCTTAGCCACTTGAGCCACAGGCGCCGAGCCTGTCCAAGCTTTTATACGCTAGGTTTCTGTGATTCATAGGTTAAAGCATTGAAGAACAGGTTTCTAAGGGGAATTGGAACAGAGCCCGAGCTGTTCAGCCCAATTTCCCCTTATCTCGGCATTGTATAAGTCACAGCATAATCTGCAGTTATTCTTAAAAACTGCAAGTGAGGGGCTTCACACTCGA